CTCTTCCCCTCCCCGCCCCCTTCGTCCCTCCTCCAGGGAGGCCTCCCTGATTGCCGCAACTATGCACTCCCTGTCCCTCACTTGGGGCCACGTTTGAGGGGAAAAGGGAATTCTAAGCATGGCCGTAGAGAATGAGTAGGGTGGTGGGGGAGAAATCAACACCAGCCATCCCCACTCCCACCACCATAACCACACTGCCCAGGATTCTGGGGCCAGGAGACCCTCACCCAAGGAACCCTGGGAACAAGTGAACCCCACACAGGCCCTGCCATATTGTGCCAAGTCTGTCCATAAGGCAAAGAAGTGGGGGATTGCAGACATGTCCAGCTAGTGGTCTTCCCAGTGTCCCCAGAGCCCACCCTCCCCCCGTGCCCTTCCCCAGCCCCCTGGGAGACCCACATCAATGTTGGTATTGTAGACAATGATTTCCAGCACCGAGTTGTCTGTTGTGGTATCCACGTTGGTGAGGTCGTAGAGCGAGGATGACACGGGCCCATATGCCCAGTCGGTGAACTTCCTGGACAAGCTCCGGAGTCGCTTCTCCTTGATCTCACGACTGAGGATGTACTTCAGGATCTGGGGACAGGAAGTGGGACAACTGTCAGCCACAGGATGCAGCCTGGGGCCCAGAGAGCCAGGAAGAGGCTCTTAAAACCCAGTTCAGTGGAGAATCTGGGAAATGACAATTATGAGAGATAATTTCTGTTTGGCCTGGATCTGAGAAGAAACAAGAAGTTTTTCCAGCTTCCCCATCCCACCCTCAATCAAGACCTGCCAGCTGAGGCTCACTGCTCTGGCCAGACACACAGATGCAAGACACCAGCCTTACAGAAAGGCGGGGTACCCCCTCTAAGTCAGTGATCCTCGAACTCTGCTGCATATCAGGTCACTGGGGAACATTAAAAAGTCCCACTCCACCCTGGCTGGTTTGGCTCAGTGGATAGAGGACTGAGGACTGAAGGGTCCCGGGTTCGATTCCGGTTGAAGGCGCATACCTCAGTTGCAGGCTCAATCCCTGGCCTGGTTGGGAGGCTACCAATCAATGTGTCTCTCTCACATTAATGTTTCTCTCTCTCCGCCTCCCACCCTCCCCAAAAATCCTATATAATAAAAGGGTAATATGCAAATAGACCAAACAGCCAAACAGTGGACCCACCATCCTGATGACCATCCGGACAACCATCCGGGACCAAGCTATGACACCCACTGGCACCAGGCCAGCCAAGGCGGGTGTGATGCGATTGGTCATGGGCCCAGCCATCACCCCATGATCGCCCCACAGAGGGAGGCCCAGGCCATTGACCAGTAGGCTGCCACAGGTGGGCGGGGCCTCCCTCTGCCAGGGAAGCCCGGATCCTGGGTGCTAGAGGGAAGCCAGTGCCTGCAGCCAGGGGAAGGAAGGCCTACTCTTGCATGAATTTCATGCATCGGGCCTCTAGTAAATAAACAAATACATAGTCCCACACTGCTGACTGACTCAATCCAAATCTCTGGAGGGAGCCCAGGCATCTGTAGCTTGCAAAGCTTCCTGGGTGGTTCCAAAGGACAGGCCAGATGGGTAGCCTGCTCTCCAGCTCACTACTCCCCAAAAGCTGAGTTTGGGGGTACCCTAGTACCCTGGGTGCCAGGGCTTCCCAAGGCACCAACCCAAGGCCCAGGAGGAGGGACCTGTTAAAGAGGACAGTGTCAGAGCCCTGATCTCACGTGAGACAGTGGGGTTCCCATCTCATCTCACACGGGAGCCTTGTCTGCACAGCCCAGGCAGAGAGCTCCTAGGGACAGGACCGGTCTCCCCAAAGTCAGTGTCTGTGTCTTAAGCACAGAAACAGAGGAAGCGGGGGTGGGGGAGGGTGGAGAGGGGGGAAAGACACAATTCCTCCTTTGTCAAAGCTGTTCTCCATTCCCTCCTCCCCCAACAAGACAATGAAAAGGTCCCTTGTGAGACCAGCCTTGACCACTGCACCAGGATCCACGGCCCTCGGGCACCCGCTCCCCACACCCCACCTTGATCTCGGACCAAGCGTGGCTCCAGGCACCAGGAGATGTGAGCCCACCCCAGCTCGAGTCTCCGACCAGGCTCCTGGACAAGCCTTGAGTTTCACTGCCGCACCATGAGCACAAAGGGCCAGAGAAGTCACGTGCTCTGCTGGGCTCTTGGCTCTGAGTTTCAACCTGAGGGGCAGGCTGGGATCTCTCCAGAGTCAGGACTAGCAGCCCATTGGCTCTGGACCCAGAGCAGCCATTCTGGGCTCCTGTCCTCCTGAGAGGCTGAAGGCCCCCAAGGGTCAGACACTCAGCCCCACTCAGCACCTGCCACCCAGGAATCCTCAGCCACAGGCATCTGAGATTGTGTCCTACAGCCTTAAGGCTCCCCCACTCTGGCCCCAGAGAGGGGGGCGGGGGCTCCCAGGGGAGGAGATAGAAGAAGCATGGAGTACGAGGGACTGAACTCCAGAGGGTGGGCCCGCGCACTGCATCTCAGTGGCTCTGTGTGGTCATCAGAACAAACCCAGCTCGGGCCTCAACTGCACTTCGGAACCTAAGACGTTCCCCTGCCGAGGTGTGGCCTATGGGGCCCCAGACTGGCGGATGGTGGAGTGCCTCCTGTCCTCCCACCTGCCCCCAAGCCCCACCTCGGCCTTGCCCATCTTGGCGGCCAGCTGCAGCGGGGTGAGGCCGTCATTGTTTCGCATGGTCTCCAGCTCCCAGTTGCCACTCCTCAGCAAGATCATGTCGTACATGCGCTTAACGAAGTCATTCTGTGTCTTAAAGTCTTCGGCCACCGTCACCAGCGCATGTAGGATGTTGTTGCCCCGTGAGTCCTGCGAGGTGATGTCTGTCTGCTCGTTCTCCATCAGCAGCTGCACGATCTCGGGCTGGTTGGTACATGCTGCCAGGGCAAGGGGTGTCTCGCCTGGGGGAGGGAGAACACTGGGGCTCAGTTTTCTCATGGACCAGGGTGGTGTTCCCCAGGTCCCAGGACTGAAGCCCATATCCTGACCAGCTCAGTAGGATTGACCCCTGAGGCTTCCTGTCCCTCTCCCCAGCTCCCCATGTATGGGAAGAAACTGAAGCTAGATCATTGCAATAACCCCTTTTATTAAACACACCAGGCATTTTCCTACCTCAGGGCCTTTGCACAGGCTGTTCCCTCTACCTATAATGCTGTTTCTCGGATATCTGCATCACTCCCTCCCTCACTTCCTTCAAGTCCTTGTTCAAATGTCACCTTTTCAATGGGTCACCCTAACTGTCCTATTTAAAATTGAACTCGCCCTAGCTGGTTTGGCTCAATGGATAGAACATCAGCCTGCAGACTGAAGGGTCCTGGGTTCGATTCCAGTCAAGGACACATGCCTGGGTTGCAGGCTTGATCCATACATAGTAGGGGATGTGCAGGAGGCAGCCAATCAATGATTCTCTCTCATCGTTGATGTTTCTATCTCTCTTTCTCCCTCCCTTCCTCTCTAAAATCATAAAAAAAAATAAATAAATAAAATTGAAATCCACCTCCTTCCTGCCCTAGAACTCGGTTTCCACTTCTCCTGCTTTACTTGTTATTTTTCGATGGCATTTATAATTTTCTAACATGTTAATTAACGTCGTTTACTGTGTTTATTATTGATGTTCTCTTTCCCATCTAGAATGTAAGTTCCATGAGGGGAGGGACCTTGGTTTTGCTCACTGGTACATTTCAAACACCTAGAACAGTACCTTCTGTACAGTGAGTGCTTGAGAAATATTTAAGAACAAAGGCAGGTGACTCACACCTGGTCACACCGCAAGCCCGGGGCAGAACCAGGACGGGATAGCAGGTCTCCTGCGGCTCACCTCCCAAACTTCACCCCACCCCACAAATGTTCCCCAACACCGGCTTCAGCCAGACCTGATACTGGGCAACGGACTGGACAAGACCTGCCCTCAAGGCCACCCAGACCCATCTAGCCCGGCTGATGCAGAAACCGCCCAGAAGAGGAAACAGGTCAGTGGTTGTCAGTCCGTCAGGGCTGGGGTGGGATGAGAAGCAGGGTTGACTACAGGGCAATTGTACCAGGGCAATTATCGGTGTGCCGGAGCTGTTTGCTTCCTGCCCTGGCCTGGCGGTATGCATTTGTGGACAGTGGGAGGATTTTCATACTCTCACTGTTGACTCCGCTTGCAGTCCTGAGGCACTGAGCACAGGGCACAGAGGCTGAGCTGGCAGCCAGGACGCCCACACCAGTCCTCCTACACTGGGGCCGCTCATTCCCCTGCCCAGAGCCTTCTCTGCGCCTGGGACCCAGGGCTCTGCTCGCTCTCCCTCCCCGGGGTGCCTTCTTAGACTCTCCCCGAGAGTCTGCAGGCTCGCCCCCTCCCAGCCCCGGCCTCTCTGGCCCAATTCAGAAGGGTCGCCCTGCCCCCACACTGGACCCGGTTCTGCTCTCGGGACAGCTCAGAGCCGGCCTCCAGCCCCCAGCCCCTAGCGCCATGGGGGCCGAGTCCGTGGGGCGGCCCCTCCCTCCGCCCTCCTGCCGGACCCCGAGCCCCAGCCCCAGCCCGGCGGCGGCACCCACCGAAGTAGAAGCCCTCGTGCTGGTACTTGGGGTTGAAGAAGACCCCCTTGGCGTGGGCGTTGACGTCGGCGCCGGCCGCGATGAGCAGCGCTGTGATGTCTCGCTGCCGCCGCTCGATGGCGATATTCAGCGCCGTCTGCCCTGCGGACAGGGTGGGGTGGGGTGGGGGTCGGAGGGCGCTCAGCGGCTGAGACCCTGGTGACACCCTGCCTGACCTCCTTCCCACCCTCCACGGAATTGTGGCGAAGTAAGCCGCCTGTCTGGTCTTGGTGTCGCCAGCTGGGGGCACAGTGCCCGCGGGATGCAGTTTTGCTTCTCGTTCCGCGGCAGCACAGTCTCGCTACCACCCAGGAGGGGGCGCTCCAGGACCAGGGCAGGGGTTCTGCATCCAGTCCCCGCGCCGAGGGCCTTCGCAGAGTAGCCTGTAGGCCCATGGGGTCAGTTTAGCAAGGCTGGTGGAGCCAGCTCAAGGCCTGCTAAGCCAGGTGAACCTTGGAACCTGAGCCTAAGGGCCAGGGGAGTCAGCAGGTGTGGAGGCAGGGAAGTGACATCACCCGAGTTTGGGTTTAGGACGTGTGCATTTTTTCTGGCTGCAAAATTGGAGGAGGTCTTAACAAGATCCCAGACTTATGTGGAGCTCTGCTCGCTGGAGCCAAGAACCCTAAGAGAAAGAGCCCTCAGGTGGTCTGGGGGCCTGGGGAAGAAGGGGTGTCTGGCCTGGGAGCTGGGTGACTGGTGCTGGTAACTGAGGAATGGAACAGGGGTCAGGAGCAGGGAGGTGGAGAAGGGACATTAACCTTGTTGGTAGAGCCTTCAGAACCTTCCCGTGTGTGGGAGGTAGGGGGAGGCAGGTGGGGGGCGGGGTGCTGTATCTCAGAATGTCCCACCAGAAACAGTATTTCCCAAAGAGCTGCTGTCTTGCCAGACATAAAAATAAATTCTTGGTGGGTTAAAGAACTAAGCTTTTTTTTTTTTAATTGGAAAATTTGTTCATAACTAACCCTTTGGTACAGAAAACCTTCTTAAGCAAGATCCAAAATGCAGAAACCATAAATAAAAAACTGACATGTTTGCTTACATAAAAATTAAATATTTCTGTATTTTGAAAGACATCTTAAAGAAAGTTGAAAGGCAATTGGTAGGCCAGGGAAAGTATTCGAGACATATAAAAGAGACCATGTATTTTTTTAAAGTCCATAATATATTAAGAGCTCTGCAAATCAATAAAAAGACAAACAACCTAAAAGGAAACAAGAAAAGAATATTAAGAACCCCTCAGAGAAGAAAATACACATCGGCAATAAAGAAACTGAAAGATGTTCAGAATCACTGGTAATCAGGAAAATGAAAATTCGAACCTAATGAATTATATTTGAACCTAATGCGTTAAAGACTTAAAAAAAAAAAGGAGTAGTGAAGAGTATGGAGAAGGAGAACCTTTGGATTCTTTTGTGAGGGGAGAGTAAAGTAATACTTTTTGGTGGCAAATTTGTCAAGCATTCTAATTTTTTTTTCTTTTTTAGAGAGAGAGGAAGGGAGAGGGAGAGAGCGATAGAAACATCAGTGTGAGAGCAAAACATAGATTGGCTGCCTCCTGCACGCCCTGTACCAGGGATCGAGCCCAAAACTCAAGCATGTGCCCTGGCTAGAAGTCGAACCAGCAACCTTCCAGTGCACAGGATGACATCCAATCAATTGAGCCACACTGGCCGGGGCAGTAACCATTCTAATTTTAATGTGCATGCCTCTGGACCCAGAAAGGCCAGTTCAAAGTCTTTCCCTAAAACTCGTGTTCACTGTGCACAAGGTCATAGACAAGAGTGTGCATCGAGACGTTCTCATAACAAAATATTGGAAACGACCTGGATGTCTGTCCACGGGGAAAGGGTGAAATTAGCCACAGTACAGTTATACTCAGACTAAGCAGGCAAAGAGGAGGCAGACTTTCATATTCTGGCATGAGAAGGTGTCTAAGATGTATAGTTAATCCCCAAAAAGTAAGTTGTAGGACAGTACAATACTGCTCTGCGTTAAATAAGTAGGTAAATGAATAGTCATCTATTTGTATGTGCACATACACACATATGTCAAAAACCTAGGAAAGCCCTCAAAGCATACACCCCATAGTAATCATCTCTGGAGAGGAGAGTGAGAAACAAGCGAAGCGTTCCTCTTTAACTTAGTTAAAATATTTGAATGTTTTACAATGAAATTCTATTCACGTACTATTTATGCAATTAAAAATACATGGCTTTGCTGAATCTCACTGATGAATATCTAGAGGTCCATTATGCTAATATTTCAAAAGTATGCTTAAATTTTTCAATAAAAAATTTAATTAAATCGTTTTTTTAAAGAGTAAGTCCCTGAAGGCCACTGATAAAATGCTAAAAATAATATTTTAAAAGATGTCATTGTATCCTCTTAGCAGTATAGAGAGGAAATATCAGCCTCTGCCAGATGGGGAAACTGAGGCTCACAAAGGCCAGTTGATGCCCAAGGTAAGGAAAAGTGCTACTCTTGTGGTCCCTGCTGCAAGAAGTGCCTAGAACAGGGCGGGGGGAGGTATCAGCAGCTACCATCAGGAGGAAGAGTAGGGGAGAGGGTTGTGTCTGGGAAGACAGGGATAAATGGTTCTTCCCACCACGAAGAGAAAGACTGGGTGCCCACAGCCCCCCACCAACCCACCAGCAAGACATAGATTCATGACAGAAGGAAAGGACAAGGGGAGGCTGAGAAAGGAGAGAGGCAGGATTCGCAGCCAGGACAGCAAAGCCTTAATAGAGACACTGATCTTCATGTAGTCACTCATTCAAAACACATTTATTAAGGACCTCTTATGTGAGACCCCAAGGGCCTCAGAGGATCCACTATGGGGAAGTCAACGTCCATCCCTGCCCTCAAGGAGAACATGCTGCTAGACGTAGGAGTCTGTCCGTCCCTACAAGACTGACAAGAAGAAAGAGGGCCTGAAAAGGGAGACGATTCAGGACAGAGAAGTTCGAGGCACTGGCCTAACCCTCCTTGGCTGCAGGCCTAGTATCAACTCCCCAGTGACAGGCTGAAACGTCATATAGCGCATTCCCTTTCTCTCTTTGCTGTGGCTACCAGGGAACTCAATGTGCAGTTCCGCACTCAGCTGCAACAATATTCCCTGACTTTCCTCTCTTCCAAATTGGTAGCTTTTAGTTTTTCATAATCCTTGACTTTTTTTATATAACAAAAACTCTTAGGAAACTCTGCAGAGTTGAAATAACTAAATAAAAAATGACTTTATCCCATGAGAAAAGGTAAGGGCCCAGCCTAGACTCCCACCTGCAAAAAGCCGAGACGTTCCGTGCCCCTGGCATATCAGTAAGGCAGCATCCGTAATCCTTGAGCCCAACATTTTTGCCACAAGCATCTCATTAGATCCTAACGGGCTGTTTCTGGACCCCAAAGATTCCAATGCGGATCCACCTTACTGATTATTCACAACGTATTTCCTGGGCAGGGAAACACCATCCCAGGGGGTCTCCTTGCTCCTCCCTGGTCCATCTGAGAGAGAAGCCACAAAATTGAGACCCAACTGGGGCAGTTGATAATAATGACAGTGATGACACTAATAGTTGCCATGTGTTGGCCCCGCCCAGCTCTCTAACCTCATCTCCAGCTTGCTTTCTCCATCACTGCAATGTACCTAGTTCCTTCCTACCTCAAGCCAGTGCCCTTGCCTTGTTCTGGATCCCTCTCATCAGACAGACCTCGGGGCAAAGGTCACCTCTCTGACCATCCGCCCTAAAGTTGCCCATCCCCGGTTACTTTCAGTCACCTTAACTTCTTTCATTTTATTTTCAAAGCATTTTCCATATAAAATTACCTTCTGTAGAGCCATGGCCTTCATCTGCCATGTTCGCCACTGCACCCCGGTGCCAAAAACAATGCCCGGCATGTGGTCGGTGCTCAAAATTATTTGCCAAATGAAGGAAGGAAGAGTGCCGAGTGCCACGCCATGTGCTTTGGGCTTTCAATGATCTGTGTGGCCTGGCCGTCGCCCACTGTCTGCACACCCCTCCCCGAGGCAGGTACCTTCGTAGGCCTCCTCGGTATACTCGGCGTTGATGAACCTGTCCAGAATGTCGTTCTCATCGGCAAAGGCGAGCAGGATCCGCACGATCTCCTTGGTGTTGGGGTTGATGTTCAGCAAGGCCTTCATCAGACAGGTCTTCCCTGTGTCTGAGGCCGTCAGCTTGTGCATGAGGAAGTCTGTGGGCAAGATCACAGGGTGGAGCTGCAGGAGGGGCCCGGAGTGGGGGAGCCCAGGGTGTGGGAGCTGCAGCCTCAGACCTCAAGACCTTGTGCATGGCCCCTGCTAGCCTCCCGGAGCCTACACACCCCACTCTCCAGCTCCTTTGCTGCCTCCTCCTTCCCAAAGGCCCAGGAGAGCCTCATCTTTCATTCCTTGGCTTCTTCACCCTCTCCCTGGCAGGAGGCAATCTTACCAGTACCCATGGCTTCCCACTGTCTAGAAGTAGACAAACATCCTGAAGTCTCCAGCGTGCCCCTCCTGGTAGCCTACAAATAGAGCTCAACAACTCGCCCTAAACTGCTACTCCCCTAGGCAGCTTGGGCTCCACCATCCACCAAGTCACCAATGGCACCACCCGACTCCTTCTTCTCCCTCACTGCCCAAGTCCTTGAGTCCTGCCAGCGTCGCTGCCTGAATGCTGTTCCCCTTCCTCAGCCCTCCGCTGGGTTCCTAATTCCATCTGGACAGCAGCCTCCTCCAGCTTCACCCCCATCCTCCAGGCAGTAGCCAGACCATGACCCTCACCTGTCTAAGCCCCTCCATGGCTCCCCATTGCCCTCAGAGTCAGGTTCAAAGTCCGTAACCCAGCACTCAAGGCTCCTCACACGCCAGCCCCACGGGTCGGTGGGAGGGAAGGTGGACAGCAGGAGCCAAGCAGGGACCCCAGCCCCGCAGCCTCTGCCAGGGCCTGGCACTGACCGGGCACGTCCAGGTTGCGGCGCCTCTTGCATAGCTCCTGCAGCTCCACCAGCAGCTGCACCAGCTCCTCCACGCAGCCCTCGGACACAGCCGCAAAGAGGCACTTCTTCAGCCGCTTCTTTTTCCGCCTCTGCTCCTCTTTGGCCAGGTTTGCACTGAGGCCAGAAAAATTTTCCAACTCACCACACGTGCACCCCGACCCCTACCCTCTCCTCGTTTCCCACCAGAGCTGCCGTGCCTACAGGACACTGGACCCCCAACATTTCCTTGTGCTGTCACAGTGCCTGGTAACCCCTCCATTCGCACTCCAGGCCCCTGGGATCCAAGGCATCCTACGCAGTCTCCCCTTCTAATCCAAATGCAACCACATTTATCAAAATGTGTATTTGGATACACATCGTAATGAATAGGAAGGGTACCTGCAACTGCCTTGAAAGTATGGGATTAGGGGAAGGAACATTTCATTTTCATATTTTGTGTTGTTTGAATGTTTTTATCTATCCCTCCCCACCCCCACACTCCAAATAGGCAACCATGGTAACGTGTTGACGTGTATCCTTTGTGTGTGTGTGTTCTTGCAAAAGGTACACTTGTTTGGTGTTTCACCACCTCCTCCAGGCCATAGGCAGACCATGCATTTTAAATTTGCATACATGGTATTGCATGAAGTTCCCCTTGTGCTGCCTGCTGTAATGGATGGGTATTACTTTTACAGCTTATCAAGTGTAACACTCCCCTCCCCCAATAAATTTCCTACATCACAGCCATGGGCCCAGGCATTTGTCCCCGGCCCCAAGAATGGCGGCTTCTTTCTCTTTCCTTCAGGGTTCCAGTGCCTGTCCTCCCGGCATCTGCCTGGTGGGCACTGGGAGGAGGGAAGGGCAGCTCACCTGGGGCTGTTGGGATTGGACGGGGTCTCTGTCGCATCATCCTGAGGAGATTGCGGGGAGTCCATGTCATCACAGTTGCCAGAGAGGCTGGAGGGGAGAGGGACGAGAAGGAAAGGGGGTGACTTTCAAGATGAACCATGTTAGCACGCCACAACCAGGACCAGCCATGTGGCCAGGGCCAGTCACTGCCATCCTCTGGAGCTGAGGGCCAGCCGGGGCAAGGGGCTGGGCAGCGGGTGGTACTCACCACTGCCGGATGTTGGAATCCATCGGCTTGGAGAAGATGGGGGGAGAGGTCTTGGCCACTGTGGGGTTGGGCTCAAACCCTTCAATCTCCAGGAAGAAGTGCGCGCTAGGGGGACAACCAAGCAAGGCCATTAGAGCGGGGGCGGGGCCTTTCACCCTGCGGGTCCTGCAACCCTGCTGCCAAGGGTGCCGCCTGCTCCACCATGCTGGACTCTAGGCCTCACAGCAGCCCTGAGAGGTGGGTATTGTCCTCTCACCCGCATTTCATAGGTGGGCATGTGGGGGCTCTGACGTCACACAGCTGGTAGGTGGCAGAGCCTGGATTCAAAGCTGCTCTGGGTGACTTCTCACTAGAAACACTGGCTGGATGAATCCAGTGGTCTCTGCTGGGGTGGCCTGCCACCTAAGGGGGGTTTTCCTGTCTGCAGCTGCCTCCAGGCGCAAAGGACTCAGGAGGGATGGAGAACATGCCAATGGGAGCTAATTCCTCCATCCTCACTCCCTAACCCCCAGCCCTCATTGCCCCTCCCACCTCAGGCCTGAAGCTGAACCTTCCGGAGAAGTCCCAAGAGCCTGAGATGTGCAGGGGCCTTTCTTGGAGTTACAATGGCTGCTCAGGTACAGTCCCCACCCCACACTCCACCCCCTTCTATCATCTCTCTCATGCTGGGAATCCTTCTCAGGAAGGAAAGCTCCAGCAAAGCACTTTGGAAGTGGAGATGAGGAGCAGTGGAGGCTGAGGGAGGGGCCCGCCTTCAGACACACCCAAAATGCAGACACGCATGCTCTCAGAACCCCCAATCACACACTCAGAGACATGCCTCACCAGGATGGTGAGGATCAAGCTGAGGATGACCTCGGTGGCAGCAACACCCCCACCCATGGCCCCTGCAGTACAAGTGCTGGCTGTGCCCTGGCTCTGTGACCTGGCCTGGACTGGGCCTCCTGACCAGGTGGCCTCTCTCCTAAGCATCGTTGCTGCCTCCCTCCCTCCCAGGCCTAGAGGATCAATACCCAAGACCACAGAAGAGCTCCCAAAGTACAGTCCCAGTCATACCAAGTTCAACGGAGGAGAGCAGAGGAGGGATGGTGGCCCCATTCTACAGAAGGGGGAACCAAGGCCCAGTATGAAGAAGCCACTCAGCCACAGTCACCCCTGAGCATAAAAGCCAAGTTAGTCAGGGAACCTGACTCCTCACGTCCAGCCTCGGGCTCATGCCACTCTCCATGCTGCTCTGCTCTCGCCTCAGCCCTCCGGGTCTGCTTCCCACCAAACCAGCTCCAGGAATTAGCTGCAGAGGGAGGCACCCAACACAGCTACCCCTGGGGTGGGGCAGGCAGGAGGGAGACCCAGGCCTAGCCTGGGGAATCCCTCTCCTCTCCTCTCTTCCAGCCATAGACAAGCCTGGAAGGCTCAGCTAATCCAGAAATGGGCATAAGTGGGGTGGGGGCAGTGTCGGCTGATACAGTGGCCCTCACCTTCCTGTCTCCTGCCCACCAAGAGGAACCTTCTGGCCTGACCTAAAATCAGATCCTTCTTCCAAAAGAGAAGACAGAGGAAGGAGTAAACTCTGGCTGGGATCCTAAGACCTGAGTTCTATTCTGGCTCTGCCTCTGCCTCTGCCTCTGCCTCTGCCTCTGCCTCCTATGTGACCCCAGATGGTCTCTTGCCATCACAGGGCCAAGCGTCCTCACCTGGGTAGAGAATGGCCCAGTCAGATGACCCCCAAGGCTTGGATTCTGGATCAGGAGAATGCTGGGGTAATCACTTATGGACTGTCCAGGTGAAATGGGCATCAGAGGTCATCGAGTCCAAGCACCATTCCCCTGCCCCCTGCAGTGCCCCCACAATAGCCACCCCAAAGCTATCCCTTCCTGTCTGGGCTCCTCAGCAGTACATTTACTCAACAAATATTGGTTGAGCACCTACAATGTGCCAGGCACTGTTCTAGGAACTGGGGATATAGTGGGTTGGCCAAAACTGGCCCCAATGATCAGACCAGGGCACAGCACAATGAGGCCTTGCTTTGCTTTTCTTTTTTAATTGACGTTTAGAAAGGAGGGGAGAGGGATAAAGAGATAGAAACACTGATGGGAGTGAACCATTGATTGGCTGCCTCGTGCAAGCCTCCCACCAGGGATCAGGCCCGCAACCCAGGCATGTGGCCTGACTGGGAATCAAAGTGGCGACCCCTTGGTTCATGGGTCAATGCTTAACCACTGGGCAACACCAACCAGGCAGCCATTGCTTTCCTTGGTCTAGACAATGCACTATCCTTCAGCTACAAGTTTCTCAATGCAGAAATGACAGTTGTTTTATCCTTCATTCACCAGAATCCAACACTGGTCCTGACACTCAGAAGAAACTAACTGGATGAATAAGGAGATAGATAGGCAATGAGTGAAAGATAAATGAATGAAAAGAAGAATGGCTGGTGGGATACATGGATGGATGAGTGGATGGATGAATAGATGGATAGATGCTGAATTCTTAAATGGATAAAAGGGAAGGAAGGAAGGAAGGAAGGCTGAGGAATTAGTAGTTGGGTGCATAAATATATGAATAGATCAAGAGATTGGTGAACTAGACTAATAAGCAAACGGACCAACGCAACCTTACCCTGCAAATGCTGTTTGGAGATCGCATCCCTCAAGAGACTCCCACTGGGCTCTCGGCTGCCCAAAGTCCTCACCTCTCATTCCCAGTTTTGCACAAGGAGTTGGGGAGAGGTCCTTTGCCTCTCTTCCACTCCTCCTCCTACTCAGGGCCTCCTCCCAGAGCCCACAGGGTCTTAAGAACGGTCCAGAAAACCAAATCATGAAAGTATCTATCCACTCCAGGCCTGGAGACTGAGGGCCCGAGGGCAGGGAAGAAGTGTGCCCTCATCTCGCCGTGAGGTGTTCTCACTGATGCTGAGGGACTGTGCTGAGCCAACAGGCCGCTTACTCATCAACCCACCCACCCCTCTCGTTGTCTTGCCTGCTCCTTCACTGACTCACCCACTTACTCCATAACTATGAGTTTGCTCTGCATAGGAAACCTGGGGGCAGGAAGGGAAGAGATGACCTCTCGAGAGGCCCTGACCTCAGAGATCTCAACCAGAGCTAAGACATTGTCCTAATAACTAACTGTGCTACCTGTTCAGAGAGACTATAGGAGCTCAGGGGAGGAGAAGGTCCTCCCACTTGAGGACAGGGATGGGGAACGTTCTGTGATCTGTTGGGTAAGATTTGGGCAGGATCTTGAAATGGACCTGTGGTTTGGGAAAAGCTCTGGAAACAGAAAGAGCAACAGGAGAGAAGCACCTGGAAGGGAGGTAGGGGCTGTGTCTGAGAAAGGAAGTCTTTTTTTTTTAATTTGAAAATTGTATTTTACTGTTTAAAGTATTAGAAATAGTAGTACATATGTCTCCTTTTTTTCCCCATTGACCTTCCCCTGGCCTCCCCTACCCCCCGGCACATGCCCTCACCCCCCACCCCAGTGTCTTGCATCCATTGGTTATGCTTATATGCGTGCATACAAGTCCTTCGATTGATATCTTACCTCCCCCACCCAACCCTCCCAGCGTTCCCACTGTAGTTTGACAGTCTGCTCGATGCTGCTCTGCCTCTGTATCTATTTTTGTTCATCAGTTTATAATGTTATTTATTATCCATAAATGAGTGAGATCATGTGGTATTTATCTTTCTCTGACTGGCTTATTTCACTTAGCATAATGCTCTCCAGTTCCATCCATGCTGTTGCAAATGGTACGAATTTCTGAAAAATGAAGTCTTTGGGGGCTTGAAAGGAGGATGGTAAGAGCCAGGGTGGAGAGGACCCAACAGTGGGCAAGGATCTAACTCCTGGGGCAGGGAGCTGCTGGACCATGAAGGCCTGTCCCAGGCCTATCCTACTTGCCACCGCACATGCCACCTCTCACCCTCCATCACGAGCAGATGGCAAGGTCTTGTGACATCCTGGCTCTTGACCTGCAGCAGGTGCTGCTTGCTTATTTCTACCTTTGGCCCAGACCAAAGGGCACTACCTGGATGTTGTTAACACAGGTAAGCAGACAGCTCTACCTTATTTCTCCTGCATTTCTGCCTCTTTGAAGGCAAAGAGCTACTCCCTCAAGCAGCCCCAGGGCTAGGGAGGAGCCTGCCTCCCTGCTTTGTCCCAATAAATGCCCAAGCTCTGAGTGCCAGGAGGACAACTCCTCCACATCCTTTATCAGCCTCATCTCTGTCCTTGGGCATCACCTTGCCCAGTAAGATGGTCACCGTGCCAGCTACTCACAGGAGTGGCATGCTGGTTCAGGAAAAAATCTCTCCCCGATCTAGATTTCTTGATGCCTTCAATTCCACCACTTAGTTCATATTTCCTTAGTGGTCACAATTGCCATTTTTATTTACATATAATTTTTCTTTTCTTTTTCTTTCTAGACCTGAGGGGCTCTATCCTCAGTTCTGAGGGAGATACCCACATTTTCAGGGTCTTGGGAGAAGCCAGCACACATAACGGCTCTTAAAAGGCCTTCCAGAAGGAGAAGGGGCCACCATGTCCTGAGAAAAAGGTGACATCCCACACCCAGGCCCTTGGCTGATTAAGGCCGTAGGCAGAGCGGAGCCTAGCGTTAAGTTCATGAACAGGCATGGGCTCAAAATCACAGCGTGACTGCTGGAAGAACCTGGGATTTTCCTGAAAACCTGTCCTCAATCCTGAGACTCAAACCTCCTCTGGGAACATGAGAGGGAGGGGGAGGGGAAGAGAGGCAGGAGGGTGGTGGTTGGGGGCTTGGCTCATGGATCTCTCTGCTCTTACTCAGACAAGCCCACCGAGATCCAAGCTGCCCCATGGACCTACTGAGACCTGTCTGATCTCCATGTCTGACCTCTGAATTTTCTCTCCTGTGCTCTGGGATGGAGCTTCCATCTGGATGTCCCATGGCCACCTCTCAGCCAACATTTCACACCTGAACTTGACTTATTCCTCTTTCTCCTCTGACATGCCCATATCAGAGATGGTCCCATCATCCCTCCAGGCCCCCCATCAGAAGAAGGGGATGTCTTTTGTTCCTCATTCTCCCTCCCCTCCCATAGTTGATCCCGTGGACCCCATGATCATAATACCTCTCTGATCGGTCCCCTTTTCTCTACCCCTAACCACCCAGGCTCAGACCTCACCACCTGGACTTCCCAACAGTCTCTCCTCCAATCCGTCATCCATGCAGATCACCCAGCGTATCCTTTCCAAAATGCAAATTTCGCCATGCCCTTCCTTTCACACCAAACCCTCTGTGGCTCCCCACTCAGTTTTGTCCACTCTCCTTAACTGACCACCAAGGCTCAGCCCCAATGGAACTCATCTCCTCAAACTCCCCCACCCACCCAGCACTTCAACCACATGGGTCTCCTCACTGGTCCCTGCCCCAGACCTGATACATAGAAGACCTCAGTGATTATTACTCAAACCAACATAAGGGAAAGCACCAAGCTCACCTCTGGCCAAGAGTGGGCCTGGGACAGGGGCAGAGGAGGCAAGGCAAATGGGCCAGCCTAGAGCAGTGGGCCCACCCCAGGGCCAGGGGAAGCACAGCTGGGGTGGAGGAGGGGCATTCAGGCTTGAGGGGCAACAAATAGGCTGAGGGGGTGGGGGGACAACAGTGGAGGCAGCTCAGGGGCCAGGTGTGACCCTAGAGAAGTGCTTTCCCTGCTCCATGTTCCCACCCGGGAAGTGGTCAAAACATCCTAGCCTTGCCCCGTTCCCAAGGGCCCTGTGGAGTGCTGATGACACTGATGACAATGACAATGAAGCTCAAGGTGACGAAAATACTATCAATGCCAACCTGTGTTGGCCACTGACTGCGGGTCAGGCACCGGGCTGAGTACTTGGATGGCACGATCCCAATTAACCACCATCCTATGAGCTGGTGCCCTTGCTGGTGTCCCCATTACACAGGTGGCGTTAGGGTGAGTGACCTGGCTGGGCACACAATGGATGTGCATGAAAATAGTACCCAGGATGGGGTCCCGACCACCTGTAGTGTCCACCCACCTTTTGCTCCTTGTCTCCAGATGGCTCCAGCAATCCCTTACCTTCCCCAGGAGTCTTCCTAAAGGTTCCTGCCCCAGTGCCCCTGATACCTCCCTGATGATTCCAGTCACACTGACCTCCCTGGCTCGGCCCCCTGAGTCTACGACAGTGATGACGAACCTATGACACGCGTGTCAGAGGTGACACGCAAATTCATTTTTTGGTTGATTTTTCTTTGTTAAATGGCATTTAAATATATAAAATAAATATCAAGAATATAACTCTTTGTTTTACTATGGTTGCAAATATCAAAAAATTTCTATATGTGACAAGGCACCAGAGTTAAGTTAGGGTTTTCAAAATTC